TGTCACTCCTGAAGAAGTTTTTTTTTTTTTTTTTTTTTTTTGTTTGCAAAAGACTGATCTAGAACGCTAAGCCTGTTCAAATTATTTTGTCAGGCTTTATCCCAAATAAGTATCATCTGTCTTGCACCTGAAGTTTTGGCTGGACTAGGTGTGATTTGTCCTCCCACCTACATCTATAAAGATGGCATAGAAGTCAAAATGAGCATTTTGTGATATGCTAATTTGGCAGAAACTTGATAATGTATTCATGTGTAATCACCAAAATATTATCTCTGGGCAATTTAGTGACATGCCTGTCAGTACCACTGACTTGAAACCAGGTTCCCACACCACGAGGACCATCCTTTGTGCAGAGGATATTGATAAATCTGGTAACTCACCTTTCCACTTGGGAATAGATGCGTGTCTGGGTTAAGCGTGGGCTACAAGCTAGGCTGCTTTCTGGATTTTTATGTTATGCTTTAGTGTAACATTCCAGACCTGGTTAAATTGTGAGGACACCTGTAATTCTGAAGCTTTGTGAAGAATTGTATGTCTTGTCTGGTGCAGTTACCTGTGGTGGGTCAGGAGGGCTAAAAGAAGCAAAACAGAGAAACTTTGTGCATTGCTAAAGGAAAGGATCCCATTTTGAAGACACCCTAGGAGCTGATGAGTAAAAAGCAGCCACGTTTTCTGTTATTTCTCAGAGGTGAATTAGAGAGAATCCCCCCGAGTATCCTGGTGCTCTAGAAATGGTTCAGATGGCAGCATGGGTGCATTCTGCAACTGAGTTATCTCAGTATTTCATTGCCGTGCCAGGCCTCTGTGTCTGTGCTTTCCTCAAGGAGGAGAACTATTTTTAGTGAGGGAAATGAGAATATCTGAATAGCCAGAGATTGATTTTAGTGCTTTGCACATCAGATTAATGAAGAACCTCCTTGCTTCTCTAAGATCCGCGGCTTTGTTCAGTTAAGGCAACACGAAGGGGCCCGTGTTGTTTCAGCCACTTGGGATTCATTTGCAGAGAACACAGCAGCTTGTGCTGGCTTCCATCCAGCTTTGCTGCTGGCGAAACACGTCTCTTCGCTCACTTTGTACTCTCAGGTACATGACCAAAATCCTGTTTAGCCAGTTTTTCAAGCTGGTGCTCAAACTCTGTCCTTCCCTCTCACCACCTTTTCTCGAAGAACTATTTTAGGGTTTGTTGGAGGTAAATGTACAGAGCAGCTTGTTTGGTTCTTCCTCTTCTCTCGGTTCAGTTTTTAATCTCAGCATTGAATTATCGAACATATTCCTTTAAATATGGAATGATTCATCAGAGCTCTGCTGGAGAGACTGATCTAGTGGAATAAGCAGTAGAGGGTGGAAGGTCATGACAATGCACTGTGGAGAGGAGGGCTGGCGCAAGATGCGCGCGGTGGTAATTAACACGCTGTGTAACTCTGTTGCTGTGAGGCCAGTAGATTAACAGGGGAGACGCAGGGTGTCAGAGCTTGGTGGAGGAAGTCTGAAGGTGGGGCAGCTTTGCATGCGAAAGTGGGGGAGCGCTACAGCGGGCAGCACGAAGGTGAGTGGCAGGAGGTAAATATTAGTGGAGTGAAGGAGACGTGGATGGAATTTATGAAATAACAGAGTTGTGGACGGGTTGCTCAACATGTGAGGCGGAGAAATGTCGTGTAAATCTGGCAATGGTCTGAACTTGTCCTTAGCTTGCTACATTTGGGTGTGTGCTGGTTCAAGGTTGTTTTTCAAGGTGATGCCTGAAATTCATAGTGGAAAAAAGGAGGCTGAAGATGGCTTTTTCTCAGTGTGGCTTTGTAAACACATCTGCACTAGTTGCTTTAACTTCTTTTGATGCTTGTGATAGGCTGTATCTGTTGCTTGAAAGACTTAAAGGTCCAGTGTAATCCGTAGTAACAAGAGCTGGTCCACAGCTGTGCTTTTCGGACCTAACCTTTCCAGAATTTGGAGACATCTGATGCCAATGAAAGAAGCCGGTTCCAGCTGATCTCCAATCTCTGCCATTCCTCTGTGGCAGTATTACGCTTGCTGTTTTGCCCTGTGCTGTTCTCCTGGGTGACTCTTCCCATTCGCTTGCTGCTGCCTCATTCCTCTCCTCAGTTAACCCATGAGGTAGCCGAGCTGTTTCGCGAAGGAGGGATGGCTTGGCTCTGGACTCTGCTTCCCATGCTCCTTTGGCCTGCTTCTGGAGCAGTACCCCCCGGTGTTTCACAAAGTCAATGAAGTTGCCTAAATCAGCACTCGGCAAGGCTTGCCAACCTGGTGGCGTTTTATCGAAGGCACTCGGAGCTGCTAGCCTCTGGTAAGAAAAGCAGAGAATTGTTCTGACCTGTCGGCTGTCCTGTCGGAAAGGAGTTTGCAATGCTGAGTGGTGTCGCTGACATCTAGTAAATATGCAGTGCAAAAACTTGGGCTTGGTTAAAATCAGAAACAAATGCTGCCTCTCCTGCCTTCTTTAAACCTAAATACACTTGGAATATTGGGCTTATCGGTGTCCTTATGCAATATTTCACTCTTCTTGATGTCTTCTCACCAGGGGCTTCTGAAAATAGCTGTGTTGTGTATCTGCCTTTTCGTCTGTATGTTGCGTGGGAAACACCATCTGAAAAAAAGTAGTATTTCAGTGCAACAGGCTTGATTTCTACCAACTTCACTTACACTGTTTGGCCTGAGCATTTCCTCCCTTGTCCAAACATTTTTCTCCTTTTGTTTTCTAACTTCATGAAGACGCTTTGAACTACAGTTCTTAGGTTTTATTTGTAAAGCAGGAGGCTGCATATACTTGCTACTTCCCTTAAATTGTGTGTTGGATTTCTTCTTGTATCTGATCAAAATAGCTCCGTAATTGCACTCTTTCTATGAGCTCTTGTGCATCTTCAGGAGTAGAGGGTACAAAGTTGAAGGTTTAGGGAGTGTTTATTACTGTTTATCAGTAAGACTCTGCTTCCTTTTGGCAAGAATCTCTGTACACCTTCTGGAGGCTAATTCCTATCACCAGTTGCAGTCCCCTTTCACAAATATTTGCTCTTTACTGTGCCCAGAAGTTAAAACAGAAAGTAAGAAGTGCTGTGTTTAGTAAGAAGGCAATTCTCCTCATGTCTGTTATTGTGGTGAGAATATTTGTTGTTGGTCTATGACTGTGGCAGTCCCCAGAGCTGCGTCTCAGAAGTGGTTCCTTTTGAGTCCTCTGGAATTTTCATCTTTTTTTCTGGTGTTTATACATCAGCTGAAGTATTTTTAACACTCTCCATTCTCAATTTTCTGACTTTAAATCATCCTTAAACAATTACTTGTGTTATAGCCTCAGGTTCTTCAAGAATTCAGCTTGTAGTAGGAACACAACCTGGACCGGCAATCGGGAAGAATCTGGCTTTCTGAATTTGCAGGGGTGGGGGATGATTTTTGTGTTTTGGTAGTGTGCAAAGAAATGTGTTGTAAAGGGTTTTTTTGGAGGTGTATTTCAGCCTTTTTAAAGTTTCTAGTATCTTCTGTTTGATATTAAATAACTGAATTTTATAGATATATTTATATCTGTATACGTATATCTGCAAATTAAACAACTTGCACAAGATGCTGATGTAAGTGCCTCTCCTTACCCAGCTCTGCCCCTCAGTCCTCTGTCTTTATGTGTAGTAGCCACTATACAGCATTTCTGAACTCGGAATGGTAGTGCAACGCCAGTTAGCTGTCCAAGCCTGGAAGAGGCTCTGAATTGGATTTGAGCAGTTGCTGTGAAATAAATCCTGGGTAATCGTGTCTCTGCTCCTACTCAGTCATGTTCAATCCATGATTTCTCCTTATGGAGCCTTGTGTTTTGGATGCAGATGCTGCAGCAGTTGTTGGCGCAGTGAATAATGTGTAGCTGTGGGGTCAGGTCATTCAGTGTCACCTTCCCCCAGCAGAGACTGTGCCTGTGGGAAGTGTCATGTCTGGTGATGATAAAACAAACCAACACTCCCCCCCCCCGGTCAAAAGACAGCGTAAATATATTGTCTGAGGTTCAAGTCAACTTGTAATTTGCTTTGGAGGAGGCTGATTTGGAGTGGTAAGCTATTGCTGAGAGCAGTGGGTGGGTACTGCATCACTGCATTGCTTTGTGAGGTAATGCTTTCCTGGGAGGGAGTAGCATTGAGAGGGAAGCTTAGAATAATTACATCTGTCCCCTTGAAAGTTAGTTAACAAGCTACTATTTACTGATTTGATGCATGTAGGAACCATAATACATTAGTTGACTGTTATGAGTAAGGAATTTAACACTAGTGTGGAGTGGCTGGAAACTGTTGTGTGAGAATGGAAAATAACATTGAACAAGACAGGTGGAGCCCTTTCCTCGTGAGAAACAGCCTGTTGGGGTGATCAGTCCTGCAGGTAGGGGATAATTTTGTTTTATCTAGTGTTCATAACGCTGTATCTCTACCTAGAACTTTCATTGGCTTGGATCTGACTTGATTATAATTTCACTTTTGGAGGTATTAGACCTCAGTTTGTCTGGCTTTTCTTAGCATGTTACTTTTGAAACATTAGTAAATCCTGATGGGTGTCTTTTATCTTTCTAATGTTCAAATAAAAAAAAAAATTAAAGACATAACTGAAGTCAAATGTGCCATAGGTGAAGAAAGGCTATTGCAGAATCAGTCTTGTGATTGATCTAGAAAGGTTTTCTTTCTTTCAAATATTTCATAGCTTTTATTGTAGTCAGTTCAGATTTTTAACATTACCGTTATAATATCATGACCTTTCATGTGAACTCATAATTGTGCCATATTGTCCTAATTTTTCTTTTTACCATACTACTGGTGTTCTTATTTTCTATTCTGCAAATGCATATAGTTTGTTTGCCTACTTTTGTCAGGAGCTCACGTCTGTTTTCCATCATGTTTTTTTCAAAAGCTATTACAAGGTGCTGAATTATTTTATCTTCTTTTTTTTAAAAAAAAAAAGTGCTCATTTTATGGAATTACCTGTATCAGTACAATGAAATGTATCACTTTATTTTTCAGTTTAGTCAGCTGGTATCCAGTGATTTGAAAGTACTTGGAAGGAGCTCTTACACACTCTGCAGTGATGGCCAGTTACTCATTCGACAAGTCCTCCACCCAGAAACATCCAAGAAGGTATGGGATCAGAACTGATGCAGAAGGGTACTAGTGTGGTTTAAGGGCATCAGAGAAAATAACTTACGTGAGTTTGAGATGAGCAACACAGCTCAACCTCGGGAACCAGAGTGTTCCAAAAATATTTAAGATGATTCCCTCTGTGTCTCAACCCTGTGTAGCGGAGTAGTTCTTGGCACTTGCTCTTGGTAGTCAGCTGCAGTACTTGAGGACTCCCAGATGAGCATAATGAAGAGGAGAATTAGGACAGACTGGAAACAGACAGGAGCAATACAAGTACTTTGAATTCTGTGACTTAAGACTTGGAAGTAAAGGTATAGGCCTAACCTCAGCAGAGGTGATGGAGAACTATTGCTTTGTTTAGGCTTGAGTTAAACCACGGGTTCTGTGCAGAGGCATGGGTTTCAACCGAGATCTGAAATTGGTAGGAACTGTGTGTCATTGTCCTGTAGAGAGCAAACATGCAGGCAGTGACTTGCCCTGGAGAATGGCAGTGGTTCTCCATCTGCATTTATTCACTGGGAAATTGTGCTACAGCTTATTGGGTGCTCCCCCACAAAGCAGCAGTTTCCACTCCAGGTTCCTGCAAGGGCTTGGAGCAGGCTGTCCTGCGCAGGGAGGAGAACCTTACCACTGCAGGGTGGTGGCACTTGAGTTAGCCTGCTTGGCAGGGTCTGCAGGAGCCTGGCAGGAATGGGAGCCCCTGGCATGGAAGGGGTTGACTGATCAGTTGTACTTTTTTTTTCCTCTATATAAGTGTATTGGCTTGTGCCGAGTTTCTACAAATACTTGTTTGGCAGTTGTGTTGTATTAAAACATAACGCTGTGACTTTTTATGAAAAGCGCATGTTTATGTGGGAATGAAGCAAGCAAGGAAACAGGAATGACATTTAACATTCAAATGTGATGATACCTTTTTTTTTTTACTTCATGCTATCCTGCAGTATGGATTACGGGTAATTCTTTGTACTTCTCTCTTGAAACAAATGGACGAAAACAAAACAAACACTGTAATGTTGTGGAAGAAATAATTGTCCATACCAGAGCAAGGAATGGATCTGATCAAGTGTTGAGTTTCTTAATACTGTGTTTCTTTCTCCTTTTTATTTTTTTTCTTCTTCAATAATTTTTCATTTGCAGAAGTTTATTTCACCCTGCACATTAAATGTTAGTAAGCCTCAGACCTGAGCTGCTGTTATTCTAGCATTCGAAGGAGTATTACCTTGTGATGTTACCTTTTCTTAGTTTTTTATTTACAAAGGTGGATGCTGTTTAGTTAGACCAAAGTCAAACTTTTACGTAGTAAAACAGTTGGAGAGTGTGAGAGAGAAAATAGTAAATTAGACCAGAATTATTTGGTTTATTTCTTGAAGAAATAAGCAGCCCTTCGCTCAGACAGTAGCTTAACTGTTTGTTTAGCAATGTTATATAATTGAAATTCTTATCCAATACACAACAGTAATGAATAAATATCTTTAACTTGCTGGAAGATATTTTGTACGCTGTAACAATATTTATTTAAACTTCATTATCATGTTTTGGTGCAACTTAGCTTTTCAGTGTAGCCACAAAAAGGAAAATACAGTATCCTAAATGGGAGTATTTATGGAACAGAAAAACCTAGATTTTTTTTTTTTTATTTTTTTATTCTTCCCCAGCGGTCTTCCCTAGCCATTTTGCACAGGTCTGCTCTCGGAAGCTATTTGGGTTTGCTCATCTAGAGATCTAGTCCTGTAAGGCTATGGAATTTGAACTGTGTTACAAAGGAACTAAACTGGTCTGTCATAAACAAGCTGATGACGTGCAACTATGTGGCTTTTGAGACTGCCTAATTCAGTCGAAAAGTATTAATTGGAATTTAAAGGAATGGTGTGTACAAAACAAACTATTTGCCTTCCTTGTAGAACTTCGTGCTGTCAGACTGCTTCTATTCCTTTTATGATCTGCGCAAAGAATTTCATACTTGCTACCCTAGTTCAGCCGCTGTGAAAGATCAGACTATCAAGAGCATGGCAGAATGTATCCTTTTGCTACAGCTTTTACATCAGAATCAACGTCGCTTCTTTATGTTTCATCTCTGTGATCGTTACAGGTTTTAGTTGTATAAACTGAGACATGGGTTTGAGAAACTCACAGGTAAAATGGGAGGAATGTTTGCTGACCTGTTTGTTGGAGGGGTGGCTCTGCTTGTGATTTTTTTTTTTTTCAATTTCAGTCTGACAGTGGGTTCTAAACTATGTTTAGTAAATCCACTAAAGAGAAACATCTCTTGCATTGATACTTGATCTTAAAGGAAAAGCCTAGCTACCAGTGGGCCTTTTCAGCACCGGTTGGCCTGCAAGCTTCTACTGTTTGCAGATAGTAATAGTTCTCTTATATAGCCCCGAATGAACCGAATTTAAAATAAAAACTAATTAAAAAAAACCCCAAACGCCCCCCTTCCCCAACACCCTACATCTACATATTAGGAGGATTTTTGTGGCTCAGCTGAATGTGGTTAAAGTTCAGTCATGTTTGAAGTGACAGTAACTTATTCTGCTTTTTTTTTTTTTAAACTGTTATCACACAAATGAGGTAAGCTATCAATAGTTTTCAGACTGTTGACCGTCAAAGTGAATATTAACCAGTTTATGAGCAGATTAACAAATGTCTAATGGTCATGTGTCCCCGCTAAGACCAGTAAATTTGATTACCAGTTCTGTGTTAATATCAGGCAAGCCTGATGACTTGTTTACAAAGGATTGTGCAAGTCTGTTATTTTCTATAATCACCTGTTTAGATTTAGGCTTAGAGACAGATGAAACAGAGGAGGACTTCGGTGTGTGGCAAGTGAAAACCATGGTGGCTATCATTTTCAGCATGCTTTCGGAAAGTTGTAGTAAGTGACCTACTTATCCAGAATGCTGAAATCCTCCTTTTTCTGTAATGGTTGGCAGTGGTACTGTCATTCTCGAGTAGTCTCGGACCCTGGTTATATTTAAACTTCCTGTTTTGTTGCAGATCACATATTTACTGAGCCTGAAACTGTGAAATACAAGTATGAAACAGGTCCTTGGTAAGTGCACTTGTCCGACTGTTTGCAATAAAAGATGAGTTTTGTCCGCAGCAGGGAAAGCTTGTGACTGTTTCCCCGTGGTCCTGGGGAAGTGGGTTGTTCCTGAGAGCAGGAGCAGTGCGTTCAGCAGTGTGGGGTAGACAGGCTGTCGCTGGCACGCTGAACGCTGTACTGCGGTCAGTCTCGTTAAAGTCGCTGCGGGTTGAACGCTCTTTGTTCTCCAGCTGCTGGTTTGCGTGGCATCAAGGCTGGCTTATCTTACCCAGCGATGAGGAAATATTTGTGAACTTTTCCTAAGTCAACAGGGGCAAGCACCCTATACTGCACGATGCTTCTGAAGAGCGGTCTGGTACGCTGGCATATTGGGTTTAGGGAGAGAAGGAACAGAACGGTTCTTTGTTTTCAAATACCTTGCGGTAATGGGAGAATGAAAGATATTCAGCATAAGTAGTATGTATTCATATTTAGGACTGCCTTGTAATCTATGTTGGATTGTTAGATCTTTCAAATAAAATTAATCCAATTCGTTATTACTTCACCTTGAGACATTCTTACTACTTTTTTTTTAAGGAACTGCAATGTGGTGACAATATAGTGCATCTTAGGCATTGCATATGTAAAAGAATAATCCCAGCTATCTTTCCTTTCTTTATTGAAGTGAGTAACGGAATTAGAGGAGTCTCAACAGCAGATATGCTCCTGATTTACAAGTGAAATTAGTTGCAAATTGAAATTCGGTAAGATAATGGAAAACTTAGATTAAATCTTCCTTTGGCTTCCCCTTTTTTTTTTTCTTTTTTTCCTCCTTTCTGTGCAGTAGCAAATCTGAAGCAGTGGACAGTGAGACAGTAATACGTGCCAGAGGTTTGCCATGGCAGTCTTCAGACCAAGATATTGCTCGATTTTTCAAAGGACTCAACATTGCCAAGTAAGATAGTAAGAATTTGTCTTGCTTTATCACTTTGTCTTTACTAGCAAGTTCTTTTGATATTTGTTTAACACACATCCTCCACCCCACCCCCCCCCACTGGTTTCCTTGCTTCTACTGTCTTTCCTCACCCAGGCCCCTTCCCACCCCACGGTCATGATAACTTAACAGGTTTACCGGTCTTAGGTGTGCAAGAAGGAGTTTTGAAGTGTGTGAAGAAGGAAGGAGACTTACCAGTTGAAAACCAACATGTGTTCATTTATTCCTAGTACCTAAAGGGAGAAACTCCTGCTGCATTAGTCAAGGTGGAGTCCAAGATATTATAGCAGCTTTAATTTTGTGCCAACTCTTCAGTATTCTGCTACACCGTCTCAACAGGCCAGATTCAGAAACTGTCAAGTGCTGTTTGGAAGAAATTTTCACATGACTGGTGTGTGTGCACCTCGGCATATATGTGTGTATTTGTAAAGTGAGGGAGTTTAATTTAGCGTACCTGTCTCTTAATATATAGTCCACCTTCTCAACACTGAGAAAATCTACGTGTTTTTTTTGTTTAGAGGTAAGAGGAAATTCAAATCTGCATCTCTGAGATAGGAAGGGCTTGCAAATTTACGTCTACGTGCAAGCTGAGAAGGTGAACAGCATGAGATCCAAGATCTCGCTGAAGCGGATTCTAAAGTATAATTTTGTTACGTTAAAGAGATCAACTCATGGATAGTAACAGTTTCTTTTTCAGACTGTAAGCTCTGTTAAGGTCTGATTTATCTACTCTTCTTACACAATTATTTATTAAATGTATTAAAGATTCAAACTAAGTATATTTTTGTTGGCTTTACCTTCCAGAGGTGGTGTGGCTCTTTGTCTGAATGCTCAAGGCAGAAGAAATGGGGAGGCGTTGGTTCGGTTTGTCAATTCTGAACAGAGAGATCTCGCACTGGAAAGACATAAGCATCACATGGGTAGCAGATACATTGAGGTAAAAAGTAGTGACTTGAAATAAATCTGTGGAGAGCAACTGGAATATTTTAGGCTATAGTTTTAAATGAGAACAAACTGCACTTCTGTTTTACTCAAAGTACTGAAACAAAATTCTCTCGCATGTGGAGGAGCACCTGTGTGTTAGAATTAAATACTGTAATTTTCATGCTTGGCTTTTTTTTCTTTTTAAGGTTTACAAAGCAACTGGGGAGGAATTCTTAAAAATTGCAGGAGGTAAGCAATGCTGGAGGTCACTATAATTACAGTTGTTCATAGGAGTGTTGTTCTAGGTCGGATTTTTTTTTTTTTCTTCTCTTGGCGGAGGACACAAATGGATAATGAAGTAGCTCCCCCTGTTTTGCCTTCCAAGAATACTTGACCCTGTCAAGTTCTGGTTTCACATGGTTGAATTTGAGCTGCGAGCCTTTGGACCGTGATGTTCACAGACAGATCTTGCTGTTTGGGAGGAAGATGAGCCTTTGCAGAATAAGCATCTGTGTACCTAGTAGAAGTTCACGCTAATCTTATCTTTGTTCTGATTTCATTAAAATATGAAATACTTTCAGGGTGTTGGAGTCGGTCCGGAGGAGGGCCACAAAGATGATCAGACGGTTGGAGTACCTCTTCTGCGAGGACAGGCTGAGGGAGTTGGGGCTGTTCAGCCTGGAGAAGAGAAGGCTCTGGGGTGACCTTAGAGCAGCTGCCAGTGCCTGAAGGGGCTCCCGGAAGGATGGAGAGGGGCTTTTCACAAGGGGGTGTAGTGATAGGACAAGGGGGAACGGCTCTAAGCTAAAAGAGGGCAGATTCAGATTAGATATTAGGAAGAAATTCTTCCCCATGAGGGTGGTGGAACACTGGCCCAGGCTGCCCAGAGAAGCTGTGGCTGCCCCCTCCCTGGCAGTGTTCAAGGCCAGGTTGGATGGACCTCTGAGAAAGAGTGGAAGATGTCCCTGCTATTTGGGGTGGATTGAGAACTGGCTGGATGACAGAGCTCTGAGGGTTGTCATCAGCGGCACTGAGTCTAGTTGGAGGCCGGTAACTAGTGGTGTCCCCCAGGGGTCAGTACTCGGCCCAGTCTTGTTCAACTTCTTCATCAATGACCTGGATGAAGAGTTAGAGTGTACCTTCAGCCAGTTTGCTGATGACACCAAACTGGGAGGAGTGGTGGATACAGCAGAAGGCTGTGCTGCCATTCAGCGTGACCTGGACAGGCTGGAAATTTGGGCAGAGAGGAACCTGATGAGGTTCAACAAGGGCAAGGGCAGGGTCCTGCACCTGGGGAAGAGCAACCCCAGGCACCAGTACAGGCTGGGGTGGAGCTGCTGGAGAGCAGCTCTGTGGAGAGGGACTGGGAGTGCTGATGGATGACAAGGTGACCATGAGCCAGCAGTGTGCCCTGGCTGCCAAGAA